CCCTGGCTCATGTATATCTAGTGCGGATAGTAACACATACATTAAGGTCTATCCATATACCGGTATAAACCTCAAAATGCTGTCAAAAGGTAATTGTTATATAATATCATCCGTTGATTGTATTGTTTTGCTTGACACAACATGTCACTAAATATTTAATTGTTTATTATAATCCTAATCATTACTCACATGATATACATCTCTATTTATCTGCCGATTTGTGTTTATCGGTACGAATTTATATAATTATAATAATAATATATTTATAATAATAAGCAATCATATTATAATTAAATTGTTAAAACTAAAACAAATAATATAAAATACAAATTATATTTAAAAATTAATATAGAATTACAATAATTAATATATTGTAAAATACCCCTTAAAAACATAAATGTTACAATTAAAAAAAATTAATTTGATTTCATTAAGTATTAATTTTTATGTTAATTGATGCAAAACACGATGTCAAACTAAAAATTTTTATTTAAATTAAGAATTTTTGGTATTACCATAAANATGCAGAATTTGTGAAAGAATTGATAGAAAACTCATTATTATTGGATTAATAGTATTTATACTAGTACATTAATGTAGTGTAGAATTTAAAGAACAATTTATTATAATTGTTAAATATTTAAATGTTCGCAACTCATACATATTAAATATCAATTCTTCCAGACCAATGTTATATAATGTTAAATATATTTAAAATAACATTAATTATATTTCTTAATAGTTAAATCATGCTAGACAATTTTAAGTTTATAATGAGAGGGTTCATTAATTTCAGCACAAGCATTGGGCTTAGAATTACCAAACATTGTATTACAAAAGTCATAGAAAAACTTATTATCATTTAATTGAAGTTGACTTAATGTGGATTTAAATCGGGGATCATTTGCGAGAATATTCCTATTGATAGACCACTCGTTATATTCAGACAATACTTCTCTGCATTCCGGCCTATCATTCCATTCGATGTTCACCATTGATTTCAATGTTTGCTTCAATTTAAGTACCGGTGTGTTTAGGTCTGTATTAGTTGTTGAATATAGTTGTGGCCTATTAAAATAAATATTTAACTTATAATACAATTCATTTAATATTCGTAATTACCTTTGCAAACCAAGATTGAACAAATCGAAATCAAATACCTCCCCCCCAATTAATGCTAAACAATAGATATCACATTTATGGCCATATTTTTTACTCTGAGACACTTCTGGGGCCATATATCTTATGTCACCGACATCTGCGGTGTGTTTATTTTTTGTCTGGTAATGAATCCGTTTGTCATGGACTGTAGCCAAACCAAAGTCACATAACTTAACGAATCTACCGTTCCTTACATTTGCAGCAATCAATATGTTTTCTGGTTTGAGGTCTCTGTGAATGATCTGTGGATTCAATTCATGCAAATATTGAACACTTTCTAAGATTTGTCGCAATATTTCACACGAAATGAAATACTCGACACAATCCATAGCTTCTCCTAATTGTCGACCAAATACTTGTGGTTTCAAATATTTGTTATATTGCACACTGTTTTGAATATTTTTGTGGTGAATCAAAACAATTTATTTGAATATAATGTATAAATACATACTTTATTAATTTCATAATTATACAGTATGTAATACTTAGGATGAGTAATTAGTGGTTTTAACTGAAAACTAAAATTAGACTTATATTATGCCTATATTTTATAATTGTAAAGACATTAACGTCAAGTCTTGACGCCATTTATTATATTCTAAAACACAAAATCAAATTCTATACGAGGAATCACTTTAACAATATTTACTTTATAATCAAAACTTTTAATTTAATTTAAAAGTAGTGGAAATGTTAAGAAATATTACAAAAATAGATAAAAATTAACTTTACTCAATACTGGCAGTTACTAAATACAAAAATAAAAGCAGTAATCCTACTATTATTTCCCAGCTATTTTGTGTCAACTTTTCAAACTTCTTGCGAATACCTCCGGTCGAGACATTGGATTCATTATCACGTAATTCACTACTTTTAAGGATAACACCTATTCATAGAAATTCATATATTTATAATTATTAAATTAAATTATTATACTCTAAACTAGTTTAAGATAATGGGATTACCTTTCACATGTTCAGGTCTAACAAACTTATTTTGTAAATTAACTTTGCTAATTTCATGAATTTTTAATTTATATGAAATAAATTCATTAAATATGGAGTAATCATCAGAAGTGTGTTCATTTAAATATTCATTAAATTCACTTATATTTCCTTCAAAAATGTCCTTGCTAAGTGACCACTGATCACTTTTATGTAATATATCAGAACACCTTGGTCTAATACTTGGTCCAAATGATACCATCGATCCAAATATTTGTAATATATTTACTATGTTCTCGTAAAATACTGTTGAATTATATTTATCCAGTTCATTATCCCTTTAAAATATAAAATGAATAAAAATCTACAATAAATAAAATTAAACTTTTAAACATACTCTAATGATATGTCGAACATTTCCATAGAAATAATACCCAGGCTATATATGTCTACCTTTACTGTATACTTAGATTGATACAATTCTGGGGCCATATATTTAGGAGTTCCCGTGTGTTTGGAGTGACTCTGAGTTTCCCTTTGGTGTTCAACAGCTAAACCAAAATCACATAACTTAACAAATCTACCGTTCCTTAAATTTTCGGCAATCAATATGTTTTCTGGTTTGAGGTCTCTGTGAATGATCTGTGGATTCAATTCATGCAAATACTGAACACTTTCTAAGATTTGTCGCAATATTTCACATGAAATGAAATACTCGACACAATCCATGGCTTCTCCTATTTGTCGCCCAAATACTTGTGGTTTCACTTCATCAGCAATTAATATATTTTCGGGTTTGAGGTCTCTGTGAATGATCTGTGGATTCAATTCATGCAAATACTGAACACTTTCTAAGATTTGTCGCAATATTTCACACGAAATGAAATACTCGACACAATCCATGGCTTCTCCTAATTGTCGACCAAATACTTGTGGTTTCACTTCAACAATATTCCGCAGATTCTGTGAACAGAACTCCATCTGAATGTAGAGGTGTTTGTCTTCAGGCCATGAGTTGTAATACTGAACACAATATTCTGAACGAACGGCTCCTAAATTCCGGACTTCTTTATAGACTCGTTGTAAGTATTCCTCAGAAAAGTCTGAAATAATTCAAAATAGTTTTAAAAATTATTTTCCATTTTATAATACCTTTAATTTGGACTCTTTTGACGGCATATATGTGTTCATCGATTCTGTGCTTTACTTTATATACGGTTCCAAAACCTCCGGAACCGATGGGTGTATTCGACAACTCAATGAACAGACTATTGTAATGATTTTCATGCGAATTATTTCCCAATTTTGGTACAACTATTTTATAAATTATAAAAATTACAACAAGCGACAATTTTATTATTTAAACTAAAAAATACCTTCATGAGGATTATTATATAGTTCTAGTTTAATATTTAAAGTTTTATTTGTTTTCACTACAGATTCAGAGTTATTAGTGCCCATGCTCAGATTTAGGGAAATTGTATTATAGCTTAGTTGCCATTCAGATGCATAAAAATCTATAAAATTATTATATTCTGTTTTATGCACTTTTTCCGGTGATATTAGTATACAAATTGTGTCATCAGTTTGTATTAAAAATGGATTTTGAGGAATATATGAATACATTTCATTAATGTGTTGAATGTTTAATTTCATTGAAATTAGTCTGGGTAGTTTTTCTATTTTAAGTTGTTTCATATAATCAGTATATGTGCCACAAAAATATATTATATTACTGTGCGATAGAAAACATGTAAATATATTTTCAGTGGTATCTGTCGAACAAATAGATTTGATATCATTTAACTGTGGAATCAATTTAGGGCTCAAAATGTTTTCTGGTAATTCATGTCCGCATTGATGGTATCTATTATCACCCCAACTGAATACCAAACCATTTATAGTAATTGCAAATGAATTCAACATAAAACAAAATATATTTTTGATTTTATAATTGTTTTTCAAACTTTACCAAAACTGGTGAAAACACTTCATCATTTCCAAAGTCATCACATCCTATTTGACCAAGCCCATTATAGCCCCACCCGTACACCTGACCATTGGTGGTGAGGGCCAGAGAATGCAAACCACCACAACATACATGTGTTATATTCTTATCATTCAATTGTGATATTTCTTGTGGTTTTAAATAAACCCCTTCTGGTGTCACATCTCTAGCACACTGTCCACTCTGATTGTGTCCCCAACTGAACACATGGTTGTCCTCATTCATAGCCAATACAACGTCCCCTCCATTGACAAACTCTTTAACGCTTTGGTCACACAATTCCCGTATAATTAATGGTATTTTCACTTCCATGTCGTGACCCAAACCCAGGCGTCCCCAACTATTACCACCCAATCCATAGACAGTGTCATCGGTTGTGACAAATAGTATATTCTTTTTATCATCGAAGTCATCGAAAACATGAAATAATTTGATTTCATGTCTAATAGTCGTGTCAATCGTATCGCAAATACGAAAATTATCCAAAAGTGTAGACATTTTTCACACAAATTACAAAAATTAAGTTTTATGTTATGTATTTCAAGAATCTAATACCCAT